GGGGGAGGGGAGGGGTGGTAGTGCTTCCCTCTGCAGTGGTAGTGCCCCCCAGGCAGCACCTGCCTGCTGGCACCTGGCCCAGGCACCACAGCTGTGAAAGGAAGCACTGGGCCCCCATGCACCTCAGGCAGGCAAGCTCCAGGGAGGAAAAAGTAAATAAAAAGATCAGACCTGGTGTTGGGATTCTTTTCTTCAGCAGATCCTGCCTGCACGAGCTGCAGCTGGGTTGCACAGCCTGAGCCGTGTAGGGCTCAGTGTTTCCATCTGTGGCTGTTGCACTTTGTTCGGGTAGCAAACTAAAACACCATGGAGGTGTTTTATCTTGCTACGTACCTAAATCATTTAAAGTGCAATAGGCCACCAAGAGTGTAAACAGCAATGCCATTAAAGTGGTGCAAAAGCATGTAAGTTGCTTTAAAGGCTAATTTTGTGGTGTGTACAAAGGCTCCTATACAATAGGTTAAAGGATGACAGTAAAAATTAAGACCAGGTTTCAGGATATGCCTTGCATTGCTGGATTGAACTCTCCAAGAGCATCTTTTAATTGTTTCTGGGCCCTACCTAATTATGCTTCTAATTAGCTTTTCACGAGGAAAGAAGGAACAACTTGTTTCTATGACAGCAAAGAACAGACAGAAGAAAAAAGAGCCACATCTATATTTAGAAGGATCTCTCACTGAAAAGATTTTGTCCCAGCTTTAAGTGATTTTTTCCAGAGACTACCCAAAATATTCCAATGAATTAAGCCTAAGAAACACCCACATTTTGCTCATGGGTTACATCAGTACCTTGCAAGGGACAGAACAGCCAACTACACACAGCATAAAGTAAAACAGATTTCAGCCAACATCATTTTTAATGTAGGGACACTGTGTGTGGAGATTGCACATGACAACATGTGCTGCATTTGTGTTTTCCATCTCCTTCTCAGAGCCAGAATTCTATTCAGCTTCTTATATTCGGCCCACTTACATTACCTCTCTGTGAACTATGGTGTCACCATTAGATAGAGATTTAAAAAGGAGTTTAATGGGAAAATGCCACCTATGCCCTTCCAGGTGCCTCCTTCTTGCTCTAATCCCTTTGTCACCTGTGAATAGGGAGGTTACTGTTTTCAGTCCACGCTAAAATGATTTAACCTAGATGGCTACACTCCAGCCCCTCCATTGCCCTCCTTTTCCAATTTCTCAGTTTAGCCAGTTTAAAAAAGTGTTCAGAAACCATGACCTAGGCCTTCCCCTCACCCTAGCCATGTTATTGTTTAATAGATTTGGTATTCCTCATGTTTGCCTTATGAGTCCTGAGGGAGCTCTCAAATCATATTTTCAAACTTCTTTCTGCATACATAAGCTAGAAACTTCATTTCTTTTTAAGGAGAGCCAAGGTTCTTAAGTTAGAACATGAATTTGGGAGCTGAGACTTTAAGGAAAAAAAACAAGTATCACAAGATTTGCCATAAAATTGTGAGAGTTAGAAGCAGAAATTTATGCCTGTCACAGAGGGTACTACTGTGATGCTCAAGTTGGCACTTCACCTCTAAATTGCCAGTGATGGTCAACCAGGGTGCTACAGCATCCTGGTATGCTGCAAGATCCATTTAAGGATGCTGTGGGGTACCACACAATATTATCATTGTAAGCTGTGTAAGCAGCTACAGCATAATTCACCAGATAAACCAGAGATTTCAAATAAGAATCCACACTGTCAAAAACATTTTGACCTGGTGTGGCCTGAGTTCTTTGCAACAGAGGAATCACTCTATTATTTTTACATAGAACATGAGTGAAAGCTAAGAGCTGCCACTTTCTGAGGGCAGCTCTCGAATTTAATGAGAGGTGCCTTGAATCTAAAAAGTTGAGAACTACTGGTCTACTATTTAGGTGCACAGCTCCTCAAAAAGATGCAGAAACCCCCTGGAAAAGAGCAGGAAGCTACCTACAGGAAGGCTAACAGTCTTCTTTTAAAACTTAGCTACTTAAAGAAGAGGTGGTAGAGGTGGAGGTAGCCACCTTTCATATGATAACATAGTGGCTATAGGTGGACTTCACCATCAGCAACCCCTGGTCTTCTGTTGGCAACTGAGTTTTTAAAGAAAGCAATGACTAGACTATGACTATATTGACTATGACTATAGACTATGACTAGATTGTGTAAAAGAGGCCCAAACCCACTTGGTGTGCCTGAAATACTCTTACAGCATTTCTACTGGATCATGCATCCCTTCTGAGATTCAGGGGCAATGTGCCATCTTTGTTTCTGGATCCCAGCAGAGCTTAGGTCTGAACTAGGCATGTACCTACTCAGACAAGGGCAGTTCTTGGCACATATAGATGCCTATGGAAACTCAGTCAAGTGTTAGGGAGGAGCCTAATGAGGCTGCCAAGAAGGGATTTTGGACTGTGATTTGGACTTAGGAACATAAAATCTGCCTGTCTGGCTTTAGACACTTAAGTCCTCTTACGGATCTGGCCCCAAATCTAGATGTACATGTTAAAAACTGCATAACTATTTTTCAGTGACCCTTCCTCCATTTTAAATTAGTCTTATAAACTACAGGTTTCCAGAGTGATCAACTAAAGCTTGCTGAGTCCCTGAACCACAGTCCTATGAACATGCAAACAGGGCAGAAACATTTGACCATAGGGCTGAGGGCAGCAGTAATACAATTACCTGGAGTTTTTTTAGTCTCTATCTTTATTTATTCAATAATTGTAACTCTACTGCACAGCCCAGAGTAGAAATTTTCTGGGAACAAGGCAGTGGAGAAAATGAGAAGCAGAAACACCCCCTCTCCCAGTTAAGTGGAAGTGCAAGAAGTATAACTGAAGGAGCTGTAGCACCTGCTTTTCCCTAAGAGGGTACCAAAACATACTAAAATAGCATTAGGTACAGTTTGCAGAATGCTACAGGGTAATGCTGGATCTTTTAGGGTTTGTACAGGTCCACAGTAACCCAAAAACTGTGAGTCTATAATACAGTTTGTAGCAATTTTAGATAGTAACATATATCAGGACTAATCACTAAATGATTTGGCAAGTATGATTCCTACCAAGTATACTGGTCATGAGTGAATAGCACATGAATTGCTTATGTCCTCCAGAACTTACGGATTTCAGTTAACATTCCTTATTGCAGTACCTCATCCTTGCAGACTCTGCTAGGAATGGAGAATCCTGTACTTTCCAATAATATCCAGCACAGCTGATGATCATTAACATACCTCTAGTCTAGAGAATTATCCTGAAAGACCTCCAGAGGTATAAGTGCCTTTGATTTCAGCAGGGATGCGTGTGGAAGGCTTGCTTGATCAGACCCTCATTTAGTTATTCTTATCTAACAGAAGTCTCATTTTATCACCAGGGGATGAAAACAAGAAAAAGACAATAAGCTACCCAATATCTCCAGCGTGTGCTCAGGCAGCACACTGTGCCTGAGACTGTTCCAAAACAGAAGGGGGGAAAGCCAAATAAAAACTCAGAGACCCCTGGAGAAAGGACTCAATGCAAGATCCAACCAAAAAAAGTACATTTGATATACTAACAGGCAGCCTTATTAAATGATCCAGCATCTCCAACTTCTCAACCACTCTGGAGACAGAAATGTCCTAGATGTTCTGTGAAAAGCAGCAATACCATCATGTTGGAAGATCTCAAATAATATCTAGTAGGGGAGACACTGTTTAGTATTGGGTCTCCCACTGCATCAGTTAGAGTTCACAACTGACATTTTAAGGCCAAAATAAGGCAGAGTTAATTGGACAAAATGGTTGCCTAATCAGAAATTATTAGTATATGAAATACACCGATGTGATGAGAAGCTGGCAAGGTGCCAGTAAAAAGGACAGGTGTTAAATTCTCCTCCTTCTTCATTGTTGTTATCCTCACTCATGCTATGTCCAAAATATACATCTAGCCTCCCTGGAACATGGACTTTGTTTAATTATCCATGTTTCAAATCTCCTCATACATCTTTGGGAGTCATATTAATTAATATATTGCCCATTTGTGCAAAAGGGTTAAGAAAAAAGAAAGGATATTTTTTTTAATGTTTAGTCAGGCCATGTGCTTGGGGAATAAAATGAGCATTTTTGGGGGCTGCAGCTCTTACAACCTGCTTTAGTAGGAGTTTGGTATTATTTTTCTTTGGACAATCTGCTGTTTCCCTGTTGCACCCAGAGCCTGGGATGAAAGTGTCTGGCAGTTGCTCTTCCAGTTTGTTTAGTTTGCTGTTTTAAAGATATTGTGAAGCATATGTTGGTTAAAATATATATTACACAGCTGGGCTGGAGTACTGAACCACAAATACTTCCTAAAGACAAACTTCCACATGTGATTTAAAAACCTCTCCAATTTTCCTGCTACAGTACTTACGTGCTAGACAGTGTCATTTAGAACACAGCCCAGAATGATGGGTGTTGTGTGGCTGCACTTCAGAGACCACTCAAAGACATTTCTGCATCATGTAGGACTCTGCCATTACACAACAGTCAGAGGCATTGTACATCAGCACCACATGCCTTGAGAAGATACATGTCAGGGCTCTTCCATAGAGCAAAGGTCCATTGGACTGCTTTGGGGAGGGAAGCAGACCCATAGTTCCATCTTCTTCCCAACATCCTGCTCTTGAGAGGACCTGGGTGGAGTGCAGGGACTGCAGCTCTGTCTGTGGGTCTGGCAAAGTGGAAGGCTAGTTCTGTGTAGATTGCAGGTTTCTCAAAATTTACTCACTATTCAAAATTATTTACCAATAGTTTATTTTTTGTGCTGCAGCTTGGTCTTTGAATGGTGTTACTGTAATGTGCTTGTTCACATAAGTCATATGATTTGTTTCTGTTTTGGGATTAGATCAACATAGCTACCAGCTTCCCAAAAACACAAACACAAGCTGCTCCTTTGGCTTTGTAATTAAATTTAACAGCAAGGCCATCTAGGGCCCAGGCAGGCATTCATTTAAGTTTGACTTGTATTTGGATATACTACACCACATCCAACAGCCTCTGGCCCATGAGGCAGGCTGTTTTAAACCCTGTATCATAAAACTGTGGTTGACATTAAATAAGTTACCTTAAACGTAGCAAAGGCATCAGAAGCTATGTCAAATGTTGACATTTCCACATATTTGAAGAAGTCCCTGAACTGTTCTGAGAAAAGGATGATTTTGGCAAGTGGTTCATGCCGGATACATTCCCTCAGCATAATTCCACAACGTAACGCAATATGTGGAGTTTCATATCTAGATACAAAAAGAACACCAAAAGCAGGCAGTTATTTTAAATATAAATGGAAAACCTACTGTATGTAAAATGTTTCTACCACTCTCTCTCTCACACACACACACATACATACATACGGCCCAGAACCATCAGTTACGAAGTCAGTCTTCCTGGTTTGGGTTCATATCCAAAAAAGAGATACTATTTATCTACTGTTTACTGTCCATATCTAACAAAAGAGAGATACTATTTGAGATGTATTGTTTAGGTTGCCAATAACTTCCATTCCAGTTCTTTGTCTTCACTAACCAATATGTGACCATGCCATGCACTAACCATTTGTGCTGAATTCTTATGATTCACTATAGAACCGTATAACGATGACATAGATTCCTTTAAGGCAGCTTGAGTATTGCTGTAAAATGCATTACTGAATCATGGAAGGTTTCAAGAGCAAAATAGAACAGGATTTAGGGAAGCAAAAGTCCCTCCAGCAAAACCCCCCCACAAAACCCCCCCCAAAAAACAACATACTGAACATATGGAATGACCATTAAGTGAACAAACACATATTAACATTAGCTGAATACAACAGATTCCAAAGATATAGAAAGGAAACTCTTCTTCAGCGGGCTATGGTATATCAAAATTATCCATCACCATTCAAAGCTTATCAGCACTATTTTTTGTCTACACAATTATTTTCTACCACCAGCCTAAAATAAGACAGAGCACTATTTGTGCTGAAAACATGTGAGCCTTTCCAGTTTACCATCAACGTCCAATCTAAAATAAATCACTGAATTTCTAGAGCAGAAAGAATGACAGCCTTCCAAAGCATCCCAAACCTGCATATTTTAACTTGGTGACTACAATAACTAGTTTAAGGAGAAACAAACTGATGATTCAAAAGACAAGTGAAGTTTCTCTTTCCCGAGTAACTGAAGTCAGTGAAGCACTATTGCTGTGGTTTTCAAAGCCATTTGTAATTTTACTGCGCAACTCTCTATATGGTAAGTGTCCACAGATGTTTTCTGTTAAGTGTTACCTCTAAATCTACTGCATCAGGTCACATTAGTACAAATGCAAATTTCCAAACAAAAGAGGCAGAGTCACTCTGTGGAATATGGCCAGGAAATATTTAATCATTGGATAAACAAATTACATTGTTTCCAGCACAATGCACTTCAAAAATGCAAATATCATTGCAGTAGAACCCCCCTCCCCCACACTTTTAGCCAAATGTTTCATTATCTGGAACTGGGTTGTGTCTTCCAGACTGTTCACATAAGTAAAGCAAGCTAGGCTGGGTTCCTGGACCATACACAAAGGAGGATCACCAGTTTTCTGGTCACCGCTAGCACTTTCACTGCACATGCAGTTCCTTCACACCCAGAGTGAAACTTAACAAAGCACATGCATAAGAACATAAGAATTGCCATTAACTGGGTCAGACCATAGGTCCACATGCCCAGTATCCTGTGTCACGCAGCAGCAGAGAGTGGATGCCGAGACAGAGAGTGAACTGGGTATGACCAGGGCTTGCTTCCCCACTGTTCTTGTCCCACTTGCAGCCTCCAGCATTTCAGGTCTAGGAAGTTCTGATTCAGAGGTTGTATCCCTAACTCCCATGCTTAATAGCTGAGGATGCTCTTTTCCTCTGAGAATTTGTCCAATCCCTTTTCTGAATCTGGCTCAACTGTCAGCTTCCACAACATCTGGTGGCAAGGAGTTCCACACTTTAATTATGTGTTGTGTGAAAAAACTTCCTTCTGTTGGTTTTAAACTTAGTACCCCCTAGTTTAATTTTGTGATCCCTATTCCTTGTACTGTGAGAGTAAATAATCAATCCCTATTTACCATTTAGTATTTTGTAAACCCTTATGTTCCCCTGCAAGCATCTCTTTTCTAAAACAGAATAGGCCCAGCTTAGGGGTGTGCAAAGTCTGGCTTGTGGCAAACTCCATTTCCCAGCAGCCCCAGCTCCCAGCCAGTCTCCACGGAGACCCCAGGAGCACAGCCGTGTGACAGTGGGGGGCCACGACAGCACTGAACGCAGAGCCAGGGCTCCGCCCCAGCCTGGTCCAGCCCTGTGCTGTCATACCCCTGCACTCCCAGGTTCTCCATGGAGACCATCCAGGAGCTGTGCAGGCAGGACGTGGGACCAGGGCTGGAGCTGGGTTCTTGCAGCGGTGACAACGCAGAGCTGTGCTGTGCTGCCTGCATGCCCCTGCCGTGGAACCCATGCTCATCACAGAGGTGTGTGGGCAGCAGGTTGCAGCTCTGCCCTGGTCCCTCACCCCCCTCCCATGCTGCCACCACTGCAAGATCCAGGCTCTGGCCCAGCGGTTCCTGGCCAGTCTCCGTTACAGCGCAGGGCTGGGACAGCCAGGCCACAGCCCCACTTATGTGGCCCCGCACTGTCATAGACCCAGCCCCTGGGGTCTCCATGGAGACCAGCTAGGAGCTAGGGTTGCTGGGATATGGAGCCTGGCAACCAGTCGGATCCATCATTTTGCCCATCCTTGGCCTAGCCTCTTTAGTCTCTTTTCCTATGAAGGCCTCTCCATACCACTAAATCCCCCTTGCTGTCCTTCTCTGTACCTTCTCTAATTTTTCTATATCCTTTTTGAGGTGTGGAGACCAGAACTGGCCTCAGTATTCAAGGTGTGGATGCACCATGGATTTATAAAGGAGCATCATGATACTTTAATTTTTGTTTACAATTCCATTCTTAATAATCCCTAACATTTTGTGCGTCTTTCTGATGGCTGCCGAACACTGAGCTGATGTTTTTAGTGAAGTGTCCACAATAACTCCCAGATCTCTTTCCAGTGTGGTGGTAACAGCTAATGTAGAGCCCAGAACAGAGCAGAAAGAGTAATCCATTACACTGTGCTTCCTGCTATATAGACAAAGAAAATGCAGATATTCCTAGTTCTGAAGATCTTACAACCTAAACGTCAGACACTACGAATTCTGGATGCACTGGAAACCCAAAGGAGAAACTAACTTTAATTTAATATCTATAGCCCAGTTTTGTAGGTACTTTAAGAAGTGAGTTTAAGGGTTATCATGATGCACTGGGGATTCAGTCAATGGGGTGTACATAGAAGACACAGAGATAGGAGTGGAGAGGAAGAACCCATCAGGGCATCAATCCTGGAGAGGACAAAAGACTATTGACAAACTGCTCTGCCTCCTTTAAGTTCTACATTGACCTTTAAAATCTGGTCTTCTATCACTGAAGTCAGTTGGGATTTTTGCTAATGACTTAGCACAAAATCAACCTCTAGCAATCCCAACTTGTAAAAGGCTATCTGGAGATAGCAATGGAGCATAGCACAGAAACATGTATGGCAAGATGCCCTTAGGATATTTGACATTTCTAATTCCTTTAGGTATCTCAGGGCACAGAATACTACCTTAGGATAAGAAGTGAAATCTTCTGTAGTAGCTCTGAACCACAGAAGAACAAGTTATTTTAAGTCAAAGCGAACCGAATTCGTTACTCATTTGACACTCTTGAGAGCAACAGATTTAAATCAGTGATTAATCTGGCCCAAGGTTATTAGCTACTATATATACCAAAGGCTCCATTCTTTTGAAGTCCTTTTTACACACTACAAATCACACAGGGCTTTCATACAGGGAAAATAAGAGGCCATTAAAAGTGAGTCCCTTTGGCAGCAGGAAAGTCAATTAACCTACAAAAAAGTAGGTAAGCAATGAACCATTTGCTAAAGTTTTTTGTGAAGCTGAGAGCTTGGGAGGGAATAGCTGAGAAGTAAAATAGGAACCAAAAGGTAAGAGCAATGATCTCAAGCTGGTAGTGCCACTGGAGTTTCATTCAGGGAATACTGGGAGAGAGATCTGATTCTGGATTCTTCCTACTTAACAACAGAACTCACATCCAGTGAAAAAGTGACCTTTTGTTGAAACTTCTGGGAACTGTCAGGCCGCTATGGAAATTTTACATTCAATAGCATTCAAACAATGGCAAGCCTCCCTGATAATCCCATGCTGTTTATTCCACAATCTGTGTATAAAAACATTAATTTTATTTTAAAAGTAAATCAGTGAGCATTAATGTAAAATACTATGCTTAGCATCCTATGTTTAAATAAGCGAGGCAGTCACATTCAGAAGAAGAACAGGAAACTGCCATTTTTGCCCATTTTGTTTCAGTTTTCTTTTCTCTCTAAAATGAAATTTACATTGAGGAATTCTATTCATTGGAAGATTCATGATGAAGAAATAAAAGCAATAAAAGTAACTGCAGGGCCAAGTGCTCAAAATCAGGTGCCTAAAATTAAGTCTGAGGTCCTAACATTGTGATTCAATGTACATGGGCACAGTAGTCTGCCTGCATGCAACAAATTCCAGGTTTGGCCCTTACCATATGTGCCTAAAACTGGAGCAAGTGATGGATTTAGTCAATTTTGTGTCTGGATGCCATGCAAGCAGGTGCCTTTGTGTTCACTCAAATACATCTGCAAATGGTTTAGGTACTTGATTAAGCTCCCTTATTTAAAAATAAATTACAATATTCTATACCAATCACCGAAATCTTGCAGCAGTATTGTATGAGTAAGTGTTTTGGATTATTATGTAGAATTCTGTAACAGTGTCTAATAATATTCTCCAATATTTGGGTATATTAATATTTTGGCACAGTTCACCTGTTGTATAGTGCCACTCCTATTGATAGTACGAATTACATGTCTATACTTTCATATTAATAAAATGAAATAAAATCTTATTACCAGAATCCAAAATAAATCCAAAATATTTTACAATTTTAAATAAAAATGGACCATGTGGTACAGACATACAAGGCACTTTCCCAAACAAAAATGAAAGGAAAGAAGGTAGAAATCGAAACAAACAAACAATCCCCCCAAAACTAAGAAAAAATAATGCAGGCTTGTCAAGAGAACCTACCCAAACACGAGATAATATTTAGTTTGACTTAAATCAGTAGAAAGTTGTTCTGAAATGTTTATAAGCAGTGATTAAATGAGCCATCATCATCAGGTGACACAGTTCACCATCACATGATATGTTTAGTATCGAGAGAGATGTGGTCTGAACACTGACATTTGATCAGTACAAAGAAGCAGCCGCCACGACCATTCCTCTAGCAAGCCGACTGGCATCCTTTTGAAGAATCTGGTGACTCAGATTAATAGCTTTGAAACTCAGATGTGTTTGATGGCTAAGAATTGCTTACATTTAATTATTACATGCAATTTGTTAAGATCAATGATGGCCCAGGTTCTGTATTTTTAATAAAAAAAGAACAGGTTCAGTCCTGTTCTTTTTGAAGTCAATAGCAGTTTTGCCACTAAGTTCACCAGGATCAGGAGCAAACTCATAGTTTGCTAAATCTTAAAACCTTAAAATCTTTATACCTTTCAGTATAAAACCAAATTCCCTAGGTTCTGGTCTTTTTTTAAAAAGAAAGACCTGTGAGACTGAATGCAAACCCTGAAGTATCTTAAAAACTACAAAGAATTAGTTAGCTGTGTCAGTTTGAAGGCAGACAGAAGGCAGGGTAGATTTGCACCTTACAGATTAACTAAATCAGAGATTGATATATGTATCATAAGCTTTCATGAGCTCAAGCTCACTTCCTCAGATGCTGTAAAAGGACACACACAGAGCAGTGTATACAATGGAGAGAGTGATGTGAATACAAAAAGGCAGGAAAGGCAGGAGGGAGAAGAGGAAGCAATCTGAAGTGTGGATTCCTACAATGCAATCAGGGCAGATTTGGGGGGGGGTG